GACCCTGCGTTGATGTTCATGTATATGTTCGTGGGATAAAGGGTTCAGCTCGTCACCACTATCATCTCCAAGAAACCGCGCGTCCTGAGGTCACCGATGATGTGTTGGACAGCTTTGCCGCGGCCTTATGAGGGAGGCATTACAGGCGCTCGTTCACACTCACCTCGCGAATTTACAGAGCAGCTCCAGAGACGAAAGAGTCTCTTCGCTACAAAAAAGACGCAATTCAAAGGCTCAACACATGCATGATCTACATGACCGAGATTTCGAGATATCTCTAGTACGTATTCTCGTTGATGGTGAAGCCTCTAGAATGGCACCAGAGTTAGCACAACACAAATATCAAGTCGGGGGACTGCTTGATGCACGGGATCGACATACCCATCAATGACAAGGTTGTGTCCCACCACCAAACTCATGCGCGGAAGACTGAGCAGCACCACCACGTCGCCAATCTCGTCAAAGGTGGCTTTCCGGCCCTGCCGCGCTTCATACTCCTCCCAGGCCTTGCCCGCGAGCTGGCCATTACCCTGGGCCATGAAGGGGTCGAGGAGCTTGGTCAGGAGGAAGCCGGGCGAGACGGCATTGACGCGGATATCATGCTTGCGTGCCTCGAGGGCGGCCTGGAGTTTGGGAAGAACAGGGCATGATGTTAGTTTGACCAGAACGGGACAAACAAAGGAGGAAAATCAAGGGAACAATTGTAGTGAACTTACGGCTTTTGTAATGCCCATGACGGCATGTTTCGACGCCGAGTATCCCGTCGTGCCAGCGCCGGCTTGGATAGAATTGACAGATGCGCAATTGACGATGGAGCCGCGCTGACGAGGTCGGCCTTGTTCGCTGTTGTTTGTTTGCCATACCTCAGCCACCGTTTCTCCGCATCTCGTCGAAGAATTCTAGCGATGTTGAGAACTTACACTTCGATCGACTCCTGCTTCATCATCTGCCTCAACTCGTGCTTGTTGCAGAGAAACACGCCGACCGTGTTGACCTCGATGACCCGTTTCCACTGCTCCGTGTCAATGTCCCACGTCTCGGCCAGGGGACCGACAATGCCTGCGAAGTTTCTGTGCGGGCCTCTTTCTGTCAGAAATTGAAAAATATTCTTGTCGATTTTTGGACGCGAGATAGAGACTGGGCAAAGAAACAGAGGGTCTCTTGAGAGATGTAGTAGGCAGGGAGGTAGGTACTGACGCTGCATAGTCGATGCGGCCAAATTCCTTGACTGCTTCGCTGACGGCGCGCTCCACATCTTCCTCCTTGGTCACGTCGGCGCGGATGCACAGGACCTGTTTGTGATGATCGGGTGAGTTCTCAGGACGTAATAATTCTATATCATGCTCCCCTTTGCAAGTTTCCGTCTTTGTTTTCTGCGCAAAAATGAACCCGGTGGAAACTATGTGGCCCTCTTACCTTGGCACCGTATTTCTCGACGGCTTTCTTGCCCTCCTCAAACGTCGCCTCGTCCTGGATGTCGACTAGGCATACCCCTTTGGCGCCCTCCTTGGCGAACGAAACCCCAATGGCGTTGCCTAGCCCGCGTGCACCGCCGGTGACGAATGCGATGCCCGGGGCAATGGGTCCTGAGCGAGAGGCCATATTTATTTCTTTTGGTTGCCGAGGCACAGACAGATATTGGATGGAGCGGCTTATGTGTGTATGATCCCAAAGTATCGGCTGGCTTGGGAGAGGACCTGTCTTATAGACCGGTCGTATTTGACGATCCCGGTAGAAAAAACGAGCCAAATGCTCGTGATATTGTTGATGTCGGTGATGATCGACCAATGATTTGGCCGAAATGTCGTCAATAAACAAGCCTGAGGCTGAACCGCGGGCCAGTAGCTAGTATTCTCTTTTCTTGAGTATTTCTCAACCACGAACATCCGACACACCAAGCAATGACTTGCCTTTTCTTCTGACAGCGTTCGGCATGACACGTCCATCACACTCTTATTATACCCTAGGTTCGACGGGATAGGATTGGGTACAACTCTTGTTGCGTTGCTTTCCCGCCTGCCATCGTCTTGATCCCCGCTTTTCTCCACAGACTTGCGCTGCGTACCGAGTTTCTTTGTAAGTAGCACGACGGCTTGAACCTCGGGTTGCGGAGCTTGGTTATTCGTGTGTGGGAGGCCCATGTTGTGGCCTTCCCGTGCTGGCCCATCAAAACCTGTCTGATTGAACAAACCCAGGCAAGTGGCGTGGACTGGCGACGTCGTAAGTCAGAAAATCCTGAATCATGACACCTTCTTCAGGGCGCTGTGCAAACATATGGAGCTCGCACACTTGTTGGACCCTGGTGTGGGGCAGTCAACCTGGAATAGAGGAGGATTCCCCAATGTCTCGCCTCCAAGGGGCATTTACAGAATGCACATATAGAGTGGTGATTGCAGGTCGTTGTTGGAAATCGATCTGACTCGTCACCTTACCTGAAACCGTCGTGATTCCTCAACCCCATCTTCCTTCTCTGTCTTGAACATGGTGAGCGAACTCGGGTACAAGGTCGAGCCACAATGGCATTCGAAACCAAATTTCATTCGAGTCATTTGTGTTGGCGCCGGTGCGGCAGGCCTGTTGGTGGCGTACAAAATGAAGAAAGATTTCAAGAACTACGAACTCGTCTGCTATGAGAAGTTCGTACTCACCTATCAATCATCAATGGGAATGTCAGCTAATGGCTCCAAAGGAACTCCGGAATTGGTGGAACATGGTTTGAGAATCGATATCCAGGTTGCGCTTGTGATGTTCCCGCACACGCCTATACCTATTCATTCGAACCGAATCCAGAATGGTCAACTTTTTACGCCTATGCGCCCGAGATCAAGCAGTATTTCGAGAAATTTGCCGACAAGTATGATCTCCACCCGAACATAAAGCTGAATTCCAAGGTTCTGTCGGCAACCTGGGTGGAGGACAAAGGCATATGTCAGTCCACAGGACACCGCCATGATGACCCCAGAGACTGACCTTGGGTAGACGAGGTTGAAGTTGACGTCGAGGGTCGTAAGATCAACGACTGGTGCCATGTCATCATCAACGGCACCGGCTTCCTCAACGATTGGAAGTGTGAGTCTGTCTCATCCCTCCAATGGATCCAAAATATTGACCGTTCGGCAGGGCCAAAGATCGAAGGACTACATGACTTCAAGGGAAAGCTTCTTCATAGCGCAAACTGGGACTCTTGTAGGCTTCACTTCTGCCGTCCGCCCCTGTGGTGACTGACATCTGGCAGCGGTTGATTATACGGACAAGACAGTTGCCGTCATTGGGACGGGGTCGTCTGCCATCCAAATCGTGCCCCAGGTGCAGAAGAAAGCAAAACACCTGACGACCTTCATGAGGTCTGTGACATGGATTTCTCCACCCGTCGGAGGCCAAGTTCTCGAAGAAGACAAGAGCCACTCGTCGGACTCGAAGCAGGCCCAGGCGCCTCAAGCACAGTACTGGTATACAGAGGAGGACAAGAAGAAGTTCCGCGAAGATCCCCAAGCCTTGCTCGAATACCGAAGGAAACTCGAATCTAGTGTTAACAACCTGTTCGATATGTTCATCGCTGGATCGGAGACGTCGCAGTGGGCCGAGAAGCTGATGCGCGAGGAAATGCACCGGCGGATCGGACCAGGGCATGAGGAGTTGAAGGAGAAGTTGATTCCAAAATGGGCGCCGGGCTGTATGTTGAACATCGATTCCTTTGGTGGAGCGGGCACTAAACATTGAACAGGTCGAAGGATTACTCCCGGTGATGGTTATCTTGAGGCATTAGTCAAAGACAGTGAGCATACCAAATGTCTCATTGACATGGAACCGGCTAACGAAAACCACAGACGTGACACCCGTCCATAATGAGATCGTCAAGGTCGTCCCTGAAGGATTGATCGACGATGCTGGTCGACTGCACAAAGTCGACATTCTTGTTTGCGCCACAGGTTTCAACCTTGCGTTCGCGCCCCCGTTCAAAGTTCTCGGAGTCAACGGTGTCAGTATGGCGGATGAGTTCAACCCTGAACCACAGGTTTACCTCGCTCTTACAGTGCCGAAATTCCCCAACTATTTCGTTGTCAATGGTGTCCGAGGCAATTGGGCGGCTGGTACAGCTCTCCCCTCGCATGAAGTCCAAGTCGAATATATCCTGCAATGCATGAAGAGGATGCAGGAGGAGAACATCCGAGCCCTCGAGGTTAAGATGGAGCCAGTAAAGCAACTATACGAGCATATTGACGAATGGCACAAAGGCTCTGTCTGGAACAGCGACTGCAAGAGGTAAATTTATAACCCCCCATTTGGTCAGATGCGCCGACTAACGAGGACAGTTGGTACAAAAACAACATCGTCGGTGGTAAGCTGTGGATTTGGGGTGGCTCGGTAAGTCGAAGGCATCACTCGTGAGGGACAAAGCTGATCTCAATAGGCACTCCATTACATGAAAACCATCAAGTTTGTCCGCTGGGAGCATTATGATTTTCGATATCGCAACAATAATATGTGGTCCTTCCTCGGCAACGGACGTGTAGAGGCTGAAGTTTTGAAAGATCTTTCAAGATTAGCACCATACATGAGAAACGAGGACGTACCGTGGACGATAGACTGAGGAACCACGGTGCAGCATGTACCTAGAGATGCAGGCGGGATCTCAGTAATGTCATAAAGTTAGACCAATCGAATGAAAAGGCTGAGTGCACACTTCATGAAAGCATAATGTACAGTGCCCAGCCGATCCATGAATCCAGAATATCCGTGCTGTGGGCCATATGACAATCGGAACATTAGGGGACGCCTACCTATTCCAAGAAGTGTGGGGGAGAGACGATCTTGCCTCGGCAGTCCATGAATCAGTACATTCTTCGTCAGTGATTGACGGTGCGTTGCATTACTGTGTTGGTGCATATATAGCCGTGTCTAAAGCGCAACGTCTCACTATCTCCAAACAGGAAAGTCGCTCAGTCTTCCTCTAGCGGATCAACAGTCTCTTAAAGTCAGCGGAAAGCTCACTTGACAGCATGAAGGCGGCTAGATATCACGGGCGTCGCGATTTGAGGGTCGAGGATGTGGATGTCCCACAAATCGTTGACGGCCAAGTTCTGATCCAAATCGAATGGTGTGGCATATGTGGCTCTGACTTGCACGAATATCTGGTCGGTAAGTTGTGGTGTCTCAGAGACTACCCTGGAGACCATAGCTGAAGAATCGGCAGGACCAGGCATTATCCCTCAGAAGGATGCACCACATCCACTGACAGGGGCTGTGATGCCTGTGACGATGGGTCACGAATTTTGCGGTCGAGTGACCAAGGTTGGCCCAAAGAGCAAGTTCCAGATCGGACAGCCTGTCATGGTTGATCCACGGGTTTTTTGTTCCAATTGTCATTCATGTAACATCGGGGACACGAATATTTGCAATAGTTGGGGATTTTTGGGGCTGCAGTCACCCGATGGGGGAGGTTTCTCGGAATACGTCGCAGTCAAAGAGGAAATGTGCCATGCCCTGCCCGATTCAATCCCCTTGTCTGAAGCTGCCTTGATTGAGCCGTTGACGGTCGCCAGGCATGCGACCAAAAAATCTGGTTTCGACGACTATCGGGACAAGACCATCCTCGTCCTTGGCGGTGGACCAGTCGGATTGGCTTTAATCTTTGTGCTGAGGGCCTCTGGGTTTGGTAAACTCATCGTGAGCGAGCCAACAAGCCAGCGGCAAGAACAGGCAGCAAAGCTCGTCGACGTGGTGTTAAATCCCAGGGAAATCAGCGTGCCGGAGAAATGCCGTGAGTTAACGAGTGGCAAGGGAGTGGACGTTGTTTTCGATTGTGCAGGGATCATGCCAGGTCTAAAAGATGGTATGGATGCCCTTCGGCGGGGTGGGACATATGTTAACGTCGCTGGTTGGGAGAGAGAAGTAAAGTGACTCCATTCCGTCAACGAGCTTCAAACATCTGACCAGTCTTTGCAGTGTATTGTGCCCATGGAGCATTTCATGTTGAAGGAAATCATCTTCCGGGCCTCAATGAGTTATACAGAAGAAGATTTCAAGCAGACTGTGGACGAATTCGTGGCTGGTAAAGGATTACACCCGAGATATGCGGGACCAAATCACTGACTTGAACTAGGAAAATTCGAGGGATTCGAGAAACTGGTTACGGCGAGAATAGCGTTGGACGACATTGTGGAGAAAGGATTTGAGGAATTAGTCAACCACAAAGATGACCATGTCAAGATCCTGGTGACCCCCATGAAGGAGCTGTTGGTTCAATGAAAGGGTGATTGATAACAGGGAGAGTTGTGAGCTTGATAAATAGAGACCACAATGTACTGTTGATCACGTGCCATGACGATTAGTCATAACTGCGCCGTTGCCACGGGAAGGGCCGAGGCGGTGACCCACGGGCGCTTGGGGACAATTTTTGTTTTCTGGCAGCCCAAATTTTGGGCTCCGAAAAGACAACATAATCAACATCCTCAGCCGTCGCTTTCTCGCGTCCTTCCTTGTCAGTCGTCTTCCTACCTCGATGGACGCCCATGCGCATCTCCTTTCGCTTGGCTGGGCAGGACCCGGCCACTCCCTCGACTCGAGACCATACAAACAAAAAGGGCATCGAGGCCTCGCTTATGATCCCGCAAGAGTCGGCAACAATGGTGTCGGTCTTGTCAAGCCTCTCCTGATATCACAAAGAAAAGGGCGATTCGGCGTTGGCAAGAAGGCGCATGAACCACAGGCCGGAAATCAGTGGTGGCTGAAAGGATTCGAGAATGCGTTGGGGAATATTGGCAAGAGCGAAAGTGAGAGAAGCAGTGGCACAACGACCCCAGTTGCATATGGCCATGGTATCGGAAAACACGGTGGGCTTTATAGCTTCTTCGTCAAGGGACAAGAGATGGAAGGCACAATTGGTAAAGTCGGCGAGTTCACGCGAGCTTCGAAGAAGAGGAAGAGTGATGCGCTTAATGATGGGGAACAGGATGATACGGCAGAATCCACGTCGTTGAAGAAGAAGCGAGAGCCTGCGACAGAATTTGAAGAGGCTGGCGTATATTTTGCGTTGCGTGACAAAGACGAGAAGCGTGGCCAGCGTGTGCAAAGGCAGGACCCCGTTGTTGAGTTCGAGCAAGTCGGCGAATACCTTCAGGCAAGGCTTCAGAAGAGACAAAAGAAGCGGAAATCAAAAGTTGGGCCTGGGGCTACAGATCTCGACACACCAGTCGAAGTTGACAACGAGGAGCCGTCAACTCCGAACAAAGTAGAGTCGAAGGAAGAGAGACAGGAACGGCGGCGACGACGAAAGGAGAAAAGGGACCAGAAGCGAAAGGCGTTGTTTGATCTGGAGAACCAACGACAAAACGTCTCACCAGCCAATTCTATTGCTAAAGATTCGGACGGCACAGCTGATCGGAGGACACAGCGCAGGCGGGCGAAAGCACAAGCTTTACCAAGTCATCAGATAGCTGAGGGCGATTTGTGACACGCTGCTTTGCATGGGTTAACTTGTGTGGTTACCAATCTCTCCGGCTTCTCTGAACTCGATCTTCGATGCAATCGTAAGACACGAGACTGGTCCATCCCTGTAGCGAATGAATTTGTTGACACTCGATGATTTGACTCCGCCACGACGATGCTCTTCAAATGAAGAGATGCGTATAAGCGAGCACATGCGCGCAGCTCTAACATAGGATGATTTTCACATCTGGTGCAAGTTGATTGACAATTTGATGTGGGACTTCCAACGCCATCCTGCATGCGCGACGCGGCAAACGTTTTCAACTAACTTAGTCTTGTCTGGGGACCCCAAATATCTTTGTATCCGCAACTATTTACATCGCACATCATCTCAAGAAGTTGAGGTTGTCTTCTCCTTCAGCCCTCTGACAAACTGCGTTTAATCTCGTCTATCAGGGCGCACTGAACACTCAGCGCCATCGCCCTCCTATGGTTGCCGATACCCGCAGTCTCCAGGGCTTCCCAAACCATTCTCTTCCCTGCTCTTACCACCGGTTGGGGCTGAGAAGACATCGTGAGCCCAAGAAGAGCTGGGAATGGCCGAAAGAAGTCATTATGTTGAGGCTGTCGGGGCCTGCGATTGGGTCAATCACGCTTGCTTGAAGCCCAACTCGAGCGTTTTCGCCGTCCTACGCCAGCGCCCGCAACAGCACTCCTACGTCTACAGGTGCCATGTTTTCTCTGCGCCTGGACGATAAGATCAAGTGACTCTTCAGGCTACGAACCATCCTTCACCACATCATTGTACCACTATAATGCGGCTCTCTAGAAATTCAAGGCAACAAATGGCGACTTTCCCCTTCACCGCCAGAAGAAGTTTTAAGCCATAAAGGCCGCCCGCATTGTATAATGCTGCAATCGCAAGCTGGTGCAAATAGGCCTGTCCGGCATATATACGATGCGGAGGCTTCGACAGCTCTACATATCCAAAGCGCCGGGCGCATGGGGCAGACTGGCATAGCTCTCAGATCTTGCTGACCTGTACAGCACCGTTCTCAACAGCTAGACCTAACTGATAGAATGAGGTTCGTAGTGCAACACGTGAAAGACCAGCTGGAACTCCAGTTTCTGGCACGTTCTGAATAGAAATCTGACACTCGGTTTAGTTCCTGGCTACCGGAGTTCGATGGCCCTCGGAAAGAGATCGACTATGAGAACGAGAACATACCATATCTCAAGCGCCAGGAAAGGATTGGAAAAGACGATGACTGGAAAGAGGTTTTTCTAGTTGACCCGGATGACAACGACAGTTTTCAGTTCCCGGTCGAACAGTGCAAAAACTTTTTGGACGGCACGACTGGAATTTCCATTCGACCTGATGATGCAGAAGATGGGAGCACTCCATATTATAATGCGTGGCTGGACGACCGCAGCCGTGAGGGTGGCGCAAGAGTGTATCGCAATCCCTTCACAGCAGAGGAGCTCAAAAAGAAACTATTAAAGTCGGTCAGTTGCTTCAATCTTTCCGGCGTTGGCAGCCTTGATTTAACAGTTTCTAGCGATATCGACCTAAAACGCCCGGCACATGGGCTCAAGTCTTCAAAGCTGTGGTGCGAGCAAATGCTTCAGCGCTTGATAGATCTGTCGCTGCAAATCACGCGAGTGATCTGGAGACTATGAATACAAACACCGTGGTTCGGGCCTCGACGGGAGCGTCGTTCGCGACCTGTCTGCAGCCGGTTGGTGAAACGATACCGAATGTGCGCCACCTTGCACGTACCTGGAGGGTAGGTTTGAGATGGGGATCAACGCTAGACAACGAGCCAGATGCAGCAAGGCGGTTGCTATTCATCACGGACTTGGATTCGGAAACCGCCACTGTTCTTATGCAAACTGCATCAAACCATCAAACCAGGCCTCTCCGTCACGCTCTTCTCGACCACATTACTAGCAACGATGCTCACATCAGTGTGAAGGTCCCAGTAAGTCCGCATCATTTGAAGAGAAGCTGCCGCGTTTTGAAACTGAGTGGTTGTTCTATAGTCAAAATCTCCTTCTACCTTTGAACTGGCATTCAACATACCGTTCTATGCCTGGAGAGACACTTACCGCGAAGACCATCGCAAATGGGCACACAGTAGACAACCGTTGCGAGAGACAGTGGATGTGTCCTTTCTCAATCAGCATCATGGAGAAGTCCTCTGCAAAGCGGTACTTACGGCTATGATTTCCGGGTCTGACATTGAGCATTGGACTGCCTACCTCTTCGCCGATACCTACTTTGATGCCCAAGATGCCGGCAGAGAAACCGTGCTCGAGTACCGGAAGGATAAGGAGTCTGAGGAGGGAATGAACGCAGACCCTTTGACCTACGGCGAAATCGATGCTGATCTTCCATTCTGGGACCCAAGAAAATACTTCTTGATCATGGCCAGATACAGACTTCAGCAAGTAGCCAAAGAATGGACTCAGGTGGTGGCGAGATTCGGCACAAGCTTTGCTGACTTCCAGAAGGTACAGTCCCTTCTACTTGTCCTAATCTGAAAGCCACCGATCGGTTACAGCTGTAGGTGACGACAACGTCACCGGCGCTGTGTCTGCTCAGGACGCCGGTCACTCAGCTGCACCAGTATTCTGTTATTGTGTCTTTTTTGACTGACTTGTTCGCCAGTCACACGGCGGCTTCTTGTCACAACCGACGCATTGCCGAGACCACCGCGACCAGCTTCAGCGTAACTATGACTGGGTCATGCGAACGAACGGGATATCAAAGGACTTGGAGGAGACGTTGGCGGCGACGGTGGATGCAATTGCAGCCATGCTCAAACATGCTGCTTTCTTCGGAGAAGAGACGGGCCTATTGTCTGAGATCGAAGCCCTCTTTGATCTTTTTAAGCGACAGCAGAAGAAGATTGAACGACTTTGTGTCAAGTGCAAAGCACTTTCTCAGAAGGTAAGGCAAGCCTCTCTCGCTGTCCGGGAAACTACTTGCGGGCTCACTCATTGCTAATCCCGACAATAACTTACAGCTTGCACTTCGTCTCAACCTCGAGGCCGTCAACGCCGGTAGAATACAGAACCAACACGGAATCGACAATCACAACCTCTCATGGATCACGTTGGTTAGTTTGCCTTTTACGTTCAATGGCATTAACATAGGAATATATTTCTGACATCTATTTTACTGCAACAGGTGTATGTAACTCCGTTGATACTCGCGATCAGTACCCTTTCGATACAAACGAATGCCCTCCGCCATGATCCATCCTTGATTCCTTGGCTGCTTTTGATGTTCTGCATCTACTGTTTGCTGGGATTTGTGGTGCGTACAACAGTCTTCTCTCGCTGGCATCTTGTGTCGACTACGATTCAACAACATTACAACAATTGGCGCCACGCTTGGCGTCAAACAACGGAGTCAAACGGTCCTATTCTACCTGTATAGAATCCAGGGGTACTTTTTCACTCTCTTTTCTCGGGGTCCTATACTTACAGGCTGAGAGAATAACTTGGAGTTACCCTGGCCATTACTCTTCTGTGCCGCTTGTCCCTAGACTCAGTGGGAAACACAGGGCGCCTCATCACGAGCAAGATCTAGTGGACGGGACATTGGGCATTCATGGATGGGCAGGAGATCGGTCCCGGTCTAGCCTGTGAGATATGGTCGTGTGAAACGGCCCATCTTAATCATCACCAAGCTGTACTAAATATCATGTCATATTAGGGAGACACAACAATCACTTTTGCTTACAGTCCATTTCCTGTCTACAGTTTTGGACATGATTCTGCGGTACCTACTTACGTGCCTACATAGGGAATTTTGGTGGTATTTATTTCAAATTAGTCCTAGTTGATAATAACATGAATACTTACCCGATGCGGGACGCCCCGTCGCCGGCCATCGTGGCACCCACCCGTGGCACCCAAAAATTTAATAATGATATTCCCTGTCGATCTCAATCAATTGTTTCATGCTCTTTTCCGCAAATCGATAATTTTGTCTTTGGGCGTCAGCGTGTTGGACAGGGTGCATCGTGGTCTGTGAGCTTTTTGTTCTGGTTCGCATTCTTTCACTGTTGGGCGTCGTTCTTTTGTGTTTGCTTCCTATCACTGCTGGACAGCTGGCCGGCCTTTAGAGAAACCTGCTTCGCTCCCTTGTTGTCCCTTCGTTGTTCTCCCGCGCTTCGACGCCTTGACGCTGGTATGCGCCAGGACGTAGCCTGGGATCTCTCTGCCGCAACTCACCTTGCGTATATGTTCTGTCATAGAAAGGAAAATGGTCAGTATATAGGGTTGACGGTTGACAACATCAACCCTTCCCGGTCGACGAAAAGTACCTGCATTGACTTGTTTGCAAGTAGCCGCCGTCCAAAACCAAGAAGAAGACCAATATCGTCTTTGTCTACACCTGCTGCCGGTGTGGACAGACCCCCATCGGCATCCAGAAACACCACTGCCCTCACTGTCACCACACCCGCTGCAGTAACTGCAAATGCGAAAAAGTTGTCCAGCGATAACCCGAGAGCCTCGATGCAACAGACTGTTTTCCACACAGCACCTTTTTCACCACTGTCTTCTAGCTGACTGGTCGGTGACGCACCCTCTATACGCGATTCACTACCATTTCCCCCGGGACAAGCAAGAGCAGGTAAAGGACAAGACACTGCAGCGATATTAGAGTAGTTGAGGACACAACCAAGAGCAGGAATGAACAACTACCTATCATGAGGGGGGCAATTTCATCTCGGGTCTTTTTGTTGTGATTGTTGCCGCCAATGCTTCTTGATGAATTGAGTCAGACACCTTTGGGTGCTTTGTGTTTTGGCCAATGCAATCTGGGTCGGAAACATTGGATTTTTAAAGACTTGGGCTTGGGGAGTTCATGTAGGATGGCTTTCGACAACCGTGGGAGGGGTGGAATTCTGAGGCCAACAGTTAGTCTGGTCATGTTGTTAGAATCCTCTCGAGGGGGTTTGACTTCATCTTGAGTCCTGACTTGAGGTAACAAACGTGCAGACGACTTGTCATCAAAATCTTCTTGTGTGCTGCGACTGTCAATAGTCGCCAAATTATACTTGGGCAGCTGGTGCCACAGTGGGATTCCCTGTTATGTTCCCTGTCTGCCTCTGCCAGCTGAACTACCTGTTCGCTACGCTACTGCATTGCGAGCTGCGTGGACCTTTGACACCGGCTTGCTGTTGTGCACACCCGAATCACCCCGTATCCTCGTATTCGGCCACCACGAGCGAGCCGCGCACTTGAATCAAGATCTGTCCCAAGTCGGAGCCGAGTATTCCACAGCATCATCGCAGACAGAAAATAGAGGGCGGCGCGGAATCTCTGCGCAGCCTATGAAAGAGCAAGGTTCCGATGCCTAGGCATGAAGTTGACCTTCTCCAAAAGGCAACCAAAAAGCTCCAAAGGCGCAGACACTAAAGAAGTCGGTCAAGTCGGGCGTTTGGGCAAATCGTTTCAGATCTGCACCTAATCGAGGTCACATGCAGTGCTTTTGCTTGAAGCAGGTTCTCAATTCAGGTACCTCTCGTGGTATGTGGCTTGGACGACATGATGCCCGATACCTCAGCCGTCGCGTCTTTCTACATCTCGAGGCTGATGAGGCGAGTCTACGTGTTGTTGGTGTGCAAAGCCCACTGAGTCACTGGCAATAGCTGAGCAGGTCGGATTTGTAAGGTAGCAGAGCTTGTTGCCGCCAAACATCAAGGCACCAGGTCTGTGTCCTGGTGATGCAGCCAAATTGGGAAGGGCGTTGCAGCTTTACTCAATAATTAGCGTCATGTGCGTCACCCGGAGGGACTCGTTCTAGATGCGAGGCGTGCGAGGTAGGAATTACCCGTACCTTTGTAACTACTGCCCTAGGTATGTCTGTACTCACTTCAGGGAAGCTGCGCACCGCCATCACCTGCGCCTCTCCTTACCTCGTTCCCTTGTGCTTCCCCTACCACTCTTGATCGAAAGTTCTCTGCCCCGTGTCTCGATCGTGAGACAGCGTGGCATGGTATATGCTACCCAATCCTAGAGCTTTGAAGCCCAATAGGATTTCGTTTGGCACAGGATACTTAGTGCCTTCTCAGATGTCCGCCTTGCTCTCAGCTTGCTTCGTTGGCAAGCATTGCTTTGGGGCCGTCTTCTCGTCATGCCCTGTCCTTCGCGGACTGCAGATCGGTCTATGCATCCAAGCCCTATCACAGATGAAGCTGCACGCTCATATGTGTGCCTGTGGCGCGCACACCAGATCCGAGGGTGGGGGTTCATCGGAGTCGATATACAAGGGACTCCTCGCGCCGCCCACGATGCTGCCATGCAGGAACATGCAACATAAACCATGGTGCTGATCTTCCACCTGTTACTACCCGCCTCTCATACGTGTGTGGCGTCCCTTTCACATCGGCCCCATTACACCTAACCAGACGACAACAACACCATGGGGAAACGCAAGTTACAGCAGAAAGAATTCGGTGATAGAGGTCAAAGCGACATCAAACCTCTGCGGTATGCGCTCCCAATAACAGCCCTCAGGAGCTGGCCCAAGATCTTTCGAAGACGCCGAAACATTCAACTCGGAGTCGAGAACAAATCGCATGTCACAGGTCGCGCCGAGTCCGGCGAAGATGAAATTGACGACATGATCCGAATTTTCATGCGCGAGCCCGAGGAATCACTGGGCTGCCTACCACGAGCCGACAGGATCGAAGAATTCTGCTTTGGGATGAGCATCGATTCCCTACGAAAAGCCGACGTGAAGCAAGACGAAACGCGAGTCATCGCGTGGCTTGATGATAGGAATCTGGATTGTCCGCTCGAACCGTCGGAGGCGCACTGCCAGCCTCTAACAGCGTATGAGTTGTTTCGACAATTGGAACAGCCTCGCTTTCCGTCAGCAGGACTCCTGACTGCTCCCGTCACTGGAAATCGAACAACTCTGGGGGATGCGGACCGGCGTCTCATTTTCATCACGAACCTGGATCGCTACAGTATCTATGCACTTGTACGAACGGCTTCGACTCATCAAGCCACTGCTCTTCGAGGAGCGCTATACCACCATCTAGAGTTCGAGGCCTCCTTAGAGCTAGCCGCCAGGATGGAAGGATTTCCCATGTTCAGACTCGCATTTCACCTACCCTTTTTCGCCGTGAGGACTTCGGAGACCCCACAGACCGACTGCCGCCGGGATCGAAATAAGATTCCTTTACGACGCCGGCAGGATATCTCGTTCCTCAATTGGCAGGCTGATGCTCCTTCGATCTACCTCTACGATGCACAAGTCTCCTGCGTAATCACCGGCTTCGACTGGACCAGGTGGATAGCGTGGCTCTTCATCGACACCTACTATTTCGATCCTGGTGACGAATCCGAAGAAGACGTATCGGAATACTACGAAGACGGACTCTCTCCGGCGGGCATGCGTGCAGATCCGCTCACGTACGGGCTTCTAGATGCGGACAAGCCAATTTGGGATCCCGAGGATTATTTCTTGACTGTCTTGAAAACCCGCTTCGCCCAAGTAAAAAGAGAATGGAAGGGAGTGGTGACGAAGCTGAAATCAAGCTTTCGACACCATCACTCGACACATCAATACCGACTCTGGTCCCCCGCATCCGGCGACGCTGAGAGAGAGAGCAGCCATGGCGAAGAGCTTCGCCGTTCACTCGACTGGGTGCTGTTGTTTATGCATCTCGCAAAGGAGGTGAATGAGACTCTTTCCAAGACTCTCAAGGCCTACGAACCTTTTTGTTCGAGGCGAGCTGGCGACTTTGTCGGCGGACTTCGATTCCCACCCGAGCACAAGTTGCTTCCTTCGATTCAGGAGACATTCGACGAGTTGTGTCAACTTAGGGAGACACTCGACCATCTTCTTGACCGCTGTGGTCAATATACCAAAGAACTTGAGTTTAAACTCAACTTGGAAGTTCGAGAGATGAACACCCAACAGTTAAGACTCGCTCTCGAAGCAAATCGAATCGCGGAGGACAACAAGGGGTTTTCGTGGAT